GGTTCACTCCCCAAATGGCCGCATCGGCCGGTGCTGCACTGATCCGAAGCCAGGACCCAGGTGCTTCTTCCTGGTCTCCCATGGAAACGCCTACTTTTTAAATTCCACATTTAAGCATTACATTAACAGAATTGGCAGAGACAATAGAATAATCAAAGGTAAAATTATTTAGCAGTTGTGAAGGAAAATCCAACTCAGTTTTGTAAATGGGAAGCCAGACCTATTCAATAAATTGGTCTTTTGTTTTTATTCTGTTAATGGAATGTTTGAAAGGCAAAATTGCATCCAGTTTAGAATTAAGTTCATGCTTTGGTTTTTACATAGAACTCCATCTTATGTATTTCCTATCACTTACAGCAAAAGACCAAATTAGTTTATTATGGTCCAATTTAAAAGACAACTTCCCCTACATTCTCAGGTAAGTGTGTCTTGGCTTCAAAGCACACTGAATATGTAATCTCACAGTAGAACAATAAGGGTCCTTTAGGGCTGTTAACCTTAAAATGAAAAGCCCTTCGGTGTGTACAGAATGTAATTGACATTTAATAATACCACTGTGCTGTGACATGGTAGCAAGTGAGGAATACTAACAAACCATCTAGTAGTCTCTACTTCATGTTTCTTAAATGCAATCATTTGCTTCATCATTGACTTATGAACTAAGAAAACCTTGAAGTAGCTCTCCTGGTATTTGATTTCCTTTTATAGGCAGAAAACTTCTGTGAAGTGTGTTTAGTTATATTCACTTTAGCATTTTAAGATCTATTTCTCTTCAGCCTATGAACTGAAAATGGCTTTTACATTTTTAAAATCCAAAGCAGAAAAGTATTTCATGACAGTTGGAAATTACATAAAATTGTAATTTCAGTTTCCTCAAACAAGGTTTTATTGGAACCTAAGCACACTCATTTGTTAGCTCTGGCTACTTTTGTACTGTAACAGCACAGTTGAGTAGTTGCCCACAAGCTTGAAATCTTTACTGTGTTCTGCCCTTTACAGAAAATGTTTGCTATACTTTGAGCTACAGTAGTTTGGGTTTAGATATTTAACAAAGAAATCACAATCAATAAGTTGTTCACATTTTCAAGAAAGTAGCAAAAACTGAAGTAATTACTGCATGGAATTAATACTCTATTAAGTGGGCAAAACTTACTTTCATCATTTGTTTTCTATTTATTTTTATTTGAGAAAAACATGAATGGAGAGGGGGAAGGAGAAAGAGAAGGAGAGGGAGAGAGACAGAGAGATCTTTATTCATTGGCTCACTACCAACTGCCCATAGTGGCTCCTGGCTGGGGATGAAGCCGGGAGCTAGGAACTCAATCCAGGTCACCCACGTGGGTAGCAGGCTCTCAGTCACTTTAATCCTCACTACTGCCTCCAAGTCTGCATTAACAGAAAGCCAGAGTCAATGGGAATCTAGGGCTCAAACCCAAGCACTCATACATGGGCATCCTAACTGATGTAATAACCAGTAGGTGAAATGCCTACCCTTTATTTAGTTTTAGCACTTGTACAAATGCATATGATTTATCAGACACTATTCTGACAGCTTTATACCTCTTCTTCTTCTTTTTTTTTTATTTGACAGGTAGAGTTATAGACAGTGAGAGAGAGACAGAGAGAAAGGTCTTCCTTTCATTGGTTCACTCTCCTAATGGCCTCTACGGCTGGTGCTGTGTTGATCAGAAGCCAGGAGCCAGTGCTTCCTCCCAGTCTCCCATGTGGGTGCAGGGACCCAAGCACTTGGGACACCCTCTACTGCCCTCCCGGACCACAGCAGAGAGCTGGACTGGAAGAGGAGCAACCGGGACTAGTACCCAGCACCCCACCTGGGACTAGAACCCAGTTGCCGGGGTGCCGGCACCACAGGCAGAGGATTAGCCTAGTGAGCCACGGTGCTGGCCAGCTTTGTACCTCTTCTAAATGCTCATAACAGCAATATGAGATTGACAGCTCTACAAATGAGAAAATCACAGCAAACCTATAAGTGAAAGTTAAATGATCCATTAGTGGAAGGGCAGTTGTGCAGCTGTTTATAGCAGCTATATAGTTAGTAAGGGACAAAGTCATGACTTCAGTATACTCAACTGGATCCCAAATCGGTGCTCTTTACCACTGTGATACAGTGCCTTTCCTGTTCTACTCCTGCTTCTTTAGAAAAGCCTTGGTTTAAGAGTAGAATTTAGGGGCTGCACTTGGGACACCTATATCCCATCACAGTTCAAGTCCTGGCTACTTTGCTTCTGATCCAGCTCCCTGATAATGTGCTTGGGAAAAAGTGGATTATGGTTGAATTGTTGAATGGCTGTCACCCACTTGGCAAACTCTGGATGGAGATCTTGGCTCCTGGCTTCAGCCTGGCCCAGCTCTGGCTGTTGCAAGCCTTTGGGAAGTGAACCAACAGATGGAAGACCTCTCTCTCTGTCACTCTACCTTTCAAATAAATAAATAAATCTTTAAAAAAAAGAAGAGAAGAAGAAGAATAGAACTTGGTAATAAATTGGACAGGATTTTTTTTTTTTTAATTTGACAGGTAGAGTTAGACAGTGAGAGAGAGAGACAGAGAGAAAGGTCTTCCTTCTGTTGGTTCATCCCCACAAATGACCACTACGGCCGGAGCTACACAGATCCGAAGCCAGGAACCAGGTGCTTCCTCCTGGTCTCCCATGCGGGTGCAGGGGCCCAAGCACTTGGGCCATCCTCCACTGCCTTCCCAGTCCACAGCAGAGAGCTGGACTGGAAGAGGGGCAGCTGGGACTAGAACCCGGCACCCATATGGGATGCTGGCGCCGCAGGTAGAGGTTTAACCAAGTGAGCCACGGCGCTGGCCCCAGACATGATGTTTTTATAACTGAGTTTGTAGTACTAACCCAGAGCCACTATAATAAAGTACCATAAATTGGGTACGGAAATTTGTTCAGTGTCAGTTTTGGAGGCCAGAAGTTGAAAATCAAAGTGTGCAAAGGACAGAGTCCCTCTTAGGCTCTGTTGTCTTTCTTTACCTCTTTCTAGCTTCTGCTGGTGACTCAAAATTTTGGTTTCCCTTGGCTCTTTCATTACATGGGATATTCTTGTGAATCTCGTCTGTGTGTCTTTTCTCCTTTTCTTTTTTTTTTTTTTTTAAAGATTTATTTTATTTATTTGAAAGTCAGAGTTACACAGAGAGAGAAAAAGAGACAGAGAGGTCTTCCATCTGCTGATTCACTCCTCCACTGGTCGCAATGACTGGAACTGTGCTGATCTGAAGCCAGGAGCTTCTTCCTGGTCTCCCATGCGAGTGCTTTCCTAGGCCATAGCAGAGAGCTGGGTCAGAAGTGGAGCAGCTGGGACTCGAACCGGTGCCCATATGGGATGCCAGCACTGCAGGCCGTGGCCTTACCTGCTATACCATAGCACTGGTCCCTCTCCTTCCCTTTTAAGGACCCCAGTCATATTGTATTAAGGGGTCACTTTACACACTAGTATGATCATATTTTTTTTATTTAATGAATATAAATTTCCAAAGTACGACTTATGGATTACAATGGCTTCCCCCCATACCGTCCCTCCCACCCACAACCCTCCCCTTTCCCACTCCCTCTCCCCTTCCATTCACATCAAGATTCATTTTCGATTATCTTAATATACAGAAGATCAGCTTAGTATACATTAAGTAAGGATTTCAACAGTTTGCTCCCACACAGAAACATAAAGTGAAAAATAATAGATGATTTTTTTTAAATGATGATGAAATCAGATCAGACCTATTGTCATGTTTAATCCCAGTGAGAGTCAAGTTGGGAATTGATAATTTCTTTTCTTTCTTTTTTTTTTTTTTTAACAGAGGATCGGTTTAGTATGCATTAAGTAAAGATTTCAACAGTTTGCACCCCCATAGAAACACAAAGTGAAATATACTGTTTGAGTACTCGTTATAGCATTAAGCCTCAATGTACAGCACATTAAGGACAGAGATCCTACATGAGGAGTAAGTGCACAGTGACTCCTGTTGTTGACTTCACAAATTGACACTCCTGTTTATGGCATCAGTAATCTCCCTATGCAGCAGTCATGAGTTTCCAAGGCTATGGAAGCCCCTTGAGTTCTCTGACTCTTATCTTGTTTAGACAAGGTCATAGTCAAAGTGGAGGTTCTCTCCTCCCTTCAGAGAAAGGTACCTCCTTCTTTGAAGACCTGTTCTTTCCACTGGGATCTCACTCACAGAGATCTTTTTGCCAGAGTGTCTTGGCTTTCCATGCCTGAAATACTCTCATGGGCTTTTCAGCCAGATAGTATGATCATATGTTAATTTAACTAGTTATGTCTGCAATGGCTCTATTTCCAAATAAGGCCATATTCTAGGCTTTGGGAAGGCCATGAATTCTAGAGGGGCAGAGGTGATGAACCAGATATTGTTCTCCAGAGTACTTCTCATTTTAAACCCAGAAAGTCTAAATGAAAAGTAGGAACTGTACAATAAGAATTTTATGGTCTTTGTTTCTTCTTTTTTTTTTTTATTTAATCTGTGCTGGATTGATTTACTATTCTCAGATTACTAATTACTATTCTCACTTTCTGCCTTTTTCCCACTTACTGTTGGCCTTTTGCTCATGATTCATGTAAAGGCTGGTTTTTATTCTGGACATTTTTCTTCTGGAATGCTCTATGACTTTTTAAAAGGAAAGGTTTCTTGCCAATTATTGTAACCTGAAGAAAGGTTGGTTTGTCTTCATTCTTGTAAATTTGTGATAGTAGACCCTGAAGCCAGCTACAGTGTACTGGCGACTGAGTTCTGACAGTGTCTTTGTCAGGATCTTTTGTATCCACCCCTATGAGGTTTCTAAGTAAGGTTCAATATTCATATTTTTATTTCCTTTGACTGTTATTATTGTTAAAAGAGCAGATTTTGAGACATGTGGTGACGCTTCAAATTCCAGGCCTGGATGATTCTCTCTTCTCTTGAATTTCAAGAATAATTGGCGCAGTTATATCAACCCATTTCCATATTTACTTTATAGGGTGCTCGGGAAACTTTTGAGAACTACTATCGAAAACAGAGGCGAAAACAGGCCCGTCTGGTACTTCAGCCTCCATCTAACATGGTAGGATTTTCACCTTCACTCTTCTCATTTTTTCACTTTTCTTCTCTGATATTTTTGCTACATGTGTATTCGTGTGTGTATGTGTGTTGACTGTCATTCTAGTTTTGAGGTATGTGACTTACAGTAAGTTTAGCAATTAGCATCTATTGATTGCTGTGTATCCAATTTTGGTCTGAGTACTAGATGTGTATTGTCTCATTCTCATCACAATGCTATATAATAGGTACTATTTTTATATTTACCCTTTAGTCTAAGAACTGAACCTTAAGAGATTAAATAACTGGTTTTCACTTTGTCTCAGTGTAACAAAACTGAAACAGTAACTTTTTTTCTTTGCTTTTTTGCAGCATGAAACTTTAGATGGCTATAGGAAATATTTTAATCAAATTGTAGGGTAAGTATACATACATATTTAAGTCTATATACTTTGAGTACATAGATTTGTGATACTTCGAAAAGTAGATCAGCTTTTCCTTGGGAAATTCTTTGGTTTTCCTTTTAACATCCTTCATACAAAGCTTTATTTTTTAATTTTCTGATGTAAAAAGAAAGTCCTGTTGTTTTCAACATTATGTTGTAGGATAGAGGGAGAATAGAGGATAAAGGGAGAAAAACATTGAGTTGTAATTTTATTTATTTATTTTTTAAAATTTTTATTTTTTTATTTTTGACAGGCAGAGTTAGTGAGAGAGAGAGGTACAGAGAGAAAGGTCTTGCTTCCGTTGGTTCACCCCGCAAATGGCCGCTATGGCCAGTGCTGCGCCAATCTGAAGCCAGGAGCCAGGTGCTTCTCCAGGTCTCCCATTGCAGGTGCAGGGCCCAAGCACTTGGGCCATCCTCCAATGCCCTCCTGGGCCACAGCAGAGAGCTGGCCTGGAAGAGGAGCAACCGGGACAGAATCCAGCTCTCCAACCAGGACTAGAACCCGGGGTGCTGGCGCCACAGGCGGAGGATTAGCCTAGTGAGCTGTGGCGCCAGCCGAGTTGTAATTTTATTATACTTGATATTTTGTTTCTCCATTCTTGGTTAGATGGAACCAAATAATCAGCAAGAGTTGACAAACCTTTTCTAAAAAGGGCCAGACAGTGGAGAATTTTGGATTTCACAAACTTCACAGACTCTGTCTCAACTCTTCAGCTTTGTTGCTGTGTGAAAACAGTTATGACTGCACGTAAATGAGTGCATATGGCTATGTGCTAATAAAACAATCTTTATAGAAAAGACCGGGGCCCATTTTGCCCTATGGGCTTTAGGTTGCCACTCTCATCTAGAACATACATAGTGGTATGGAATGCAGTTCCCAAACAGACATCCTGAATATAGGCAGTGTGTTCTAGTTGCAGAATAACCACTGCAGTTAATATAAAGTGATTAAGTTTCTTCCTTTCTTTTGTTTTTGAGTTTTATTATTTCCATATAATTAATAGTTTTATTCATATATATCATAGAATTCTCTAACAAAGAATTATTTTAACTTCTGTGAACATTATGCCATATGGCTAAGGTAAAATTTAAATGTGTAATACTAAAGAGCTACAACAGGGACATTGAAAAATTAGTCTGTATTTTTTTAAACTTTATAAGGTACCTTTTCAGTACTTCACTTTGAGTCCTCTTAGGAGGGGATCATTTTGATAATTTGTATGTTTGGTTACTTATATTTTGTCTTTTATTGTCTCTTTAAAATCTATTTGTTTTGTGAAATATGTTGGTGGAGTAGTGATTTTTTTTAAAGTAGTGAAATTAGTTTTCATTACCTATCCCCATTTTCCTCCTCTTAAAATTAATTCCAATCTGTGTACAGTGGTTAAGAAGACTTGATCACAGATATAATTCCTAGTTGAAGAAGTCTGATTTCATTTATGATACTGAAAATCTTTCTTTAAGAAAAAAGTGACTGTTAACTCTGAATTTGATGGCAACCCTAATGTTTGTCAAGCCCTAGAGACAGATAGTAATCACACTGTAATTTCTGACAACTTTGTTTTCTTTTCTCCTCAATCATAGCTTTTTTGTGGTTGAAGATCATATTTTGCATACAACCCAGGGATTAGTAAATAGAGCCTACATTGATGAACTATGGGAAATGGCACTTTCAAAAACCATAGCAGCACTCCGAACCCACTCGGTATGTGTGAAACCCAAGAGAAGTTCATATTTAGATCTGATTATCTATATACCGGATAGTGTTTTACTGCTTTAAAATCAACATAAATGTAATTTTTGGAATGTCTCATTTGGAGCCAAATGCATGTGTATATATATGTGTGTGTGTATGTATGTATGTATCCTTCAGTGACATTAGAGTAGAACCCTGGCATATCTAACACTGAGCTCTCTTTTGGGAAATGTTCTTTGCAATAAGAAAATATCAGCTAACGTCTATTGATTGCTATCTATGTGTCAGGCATTCTTCTGTGTATTTCATGTGCTGTCTTCTTCATCCTCTATAACCCTATAAAGATAAACATTATTATTGTGCTTGCCTTAAAATGTGAAGAAGAGAACCTCAGAGAGCTTAGATTAGCAGCCTAATGACACACAGTAAGAGGTGAAACTTAGATTCAAATCCAGATACAGTCCTTGTTCTTTGCCACTACTATGTAATGCCTTCTGTAATACCTATTAATATTATACACTTTGATTTGGAGTTCATCATTTTACTCTTACTTTTTGGGAAAAATGTTTACAACTGTCAAATCGCCTAATCATCAGTTTTCATGATATATTGATATACTTCAACATAGCATGGGTTTTGGTATAGTCTATTTTAGGTGGACACTGCTAGTTCTGAAGTAATCATTTGTTCAATAATTCAGTATTTCTTTAATAGTGATTGTTTTGTTGGCAGTGGTCGTAAAACAATGAACAAGAGTCTGCTGTCAGAGAGTTATATTTTAATTGGAGGAGAGACCCAAATAAATAAGAATATTAGGCAATGGTGATATAATGCAAGCAGTTAAAATGAAACAGTAGATTAGGGCATCAGATTGCCTCCTTTTGGTTCATTGAGAAGAGGTGGCCTGTTGAGGTCCAAATATCAAGGAGTCACCATTTATGCAAAGACAATTAAATGATCATTTTAGGCATAAGAAGCAGTTGTTCAAGTGTTTGAGAAATAATAATGAGGAGTTGATAAGCTAATTTAGCATTTTAAAAACTTTATTAAATGATTCTCCTATCTAGTTGTGCTTGCTAGAGACTTGAAATTATCCATGACCCTTCAACTGTCTTTGTAAATGTTGCAGATAGTAAGTACGGTATGCAAAATCTAAATTTCAAGGAGCCTAGTCCTGTTAGAGATTTGAGAGAAATCCAGAATGGAAAGACCATAGAACACAGAAAGCTAGGTAAAGTAGGAAGTGAGAATGGAGAAATGTGCAGATGCCATCTGATTTAGGAATTGTTTGACCCTTTTAGTGTTGTGCTGAGTGGTGTGTGTGTGTGTGTGTGTGTGTGTGTGTGTGTGTGTGTTTCAGGGCTGTGGAGTAAATTAAGAATGAAATGATCATATTTACATTTTGATAAAATGATTTTTTAAAGATTTATTTATTTATTTATTTGAAATTTGGAGTTAGAGAGAGACAGAGACAGATCTTCCATCTGCTGGTTTACTCCCCAAATAACTGGGGCTGGGCCAAGCTGAAGCTAGAAGTCAGGAGCTTCATCTGGGTCTCCCACAGGTGTGCAGGGGCTCAAGCACTTTAGCCAACCTCTTTTGCTTTTCCAGGCACATTAGCAGGGAGTTGGATTGGAAGTAGAGTGGCCAGGACTCAAACTAGCACTCATATGGGATGCTGATGTTGCAGGTGGCAACTTAACCTGCTACAGTACAATGCTACCTTGAGAAAATTACTCTATCTAGAATACACCTGATAGGATAGTCTGGCATTTTAAGCAAGAGATAACTTGGATCAAAGAATGATTGCAGACATCCCAAGCAGTATCTAAACCACTACTCCAACTGTGTGCCCCTGAGAATCACTTTATCATGTCCCTCCCACCTCTTGAATCCTACTCCCCAAAACTGAGACACAGTTTTGTTGCACAGTATATCTATAAGTTAAAATGGAGATAACTAACATATTTCAGTATCTGGTATTTTTCGCCAAGAAATATATGGGGGCTTAAAAAGTTCCCAGAGATATGAAATTAAAAGATAAATTTATGTTTGTGCAAAATGTTTTTGAAATCCATGCATAATATTTTCTTAGTACACATTTTTATGAACTGAAGACTCTTCATAAATAATTTTTCTTTTTTTATATCTTTTGGTAAAATATTCTATATGCTTCCTTTTGAGGCTCTTTGGATGTTTTATATTTTGGAGGAATATTTTGAGGAAGGCGTTTCATCCCATCATACTTGTTAACTAGTGGTACAGTCATTGTATGGGAGAGAAGTCTCTGATTTTGAGTACTTATTTTATATCTTAAAATTGTTGAATGTTCCAGTTTTCTTTTGATTCCTGAAAAATGCTTTCTTTCTTTTAGAAAGCTACTTTCCAAGCACCACCTTTTTTTCCCTTTTCTTATTATTTCCTCCATGACTTATACATTTGAGAAAGTGACAAATCTATAGGGTTCTTCCTGCAGAAATATGTACCCCTTATTTAGCACCATATTTGATGATGTTAGGAGTAGGGCTGTTTTCATGATGTGGGCTTATGTTTCTATAAAGTGTGAGTCTATGATGTAAGTTAATCTTAAGGGAGTTTTTCTTTGTAGATCTACAGTATGTTCTTTTGGATTGAAGAATAAATGATAAAGTATCCTCCCTCCTCCCTGCCACCCCCACCAGTAGTTCATCAGTCTGTAGAGGCAGAAAATAGATTCATGGTTAGGATGTACAGAGTAGGAGAATAAGGAAGTGCTAGTTAAAGGGTGCAGACATGCCCTAACATATGATGATTTGCCTTATGATTTTTTGATGTTGTAATAGTGAAAAAGTGATATGCATTCAGTGAGAACCAAACTTTGAATTTTGAACTTTTCTTGGGCTGCTGATATTCATTCCTGATGCTTAGCAGTGGTGGCTAGCTACAACTTCCCATCAGCCACATGAATGGGGAGGTAAACAATGGATCCTCTACAATTATTATGTTGTTAACCTCTGATGCTTAGTAAGTTTTGACTTATGGTATGTTCAATTTAAAATTGTTTTATCTGATTATAACCCCATTATAAATTGAAGAACATCTGCATGTTAAAAGAATGTTATGCTGATGCAGAAGGGAGTTCATTTCAGGAATGGCTCAATATTAAAATATATTGAATGGGTGTTGTGGTGTAGGGATGTCTGTATCCCATACTGAAGTGCTGGTTTAAGTCCTGGTTATTACTTAGCTTCTGATCCAGCTCCCGGCTAACCTGCCTGAAAGCTGTAGAGGATGGCTCAAATGCTTGAGTCCCTGCCACCCTGTAAGAGACCTGGATGGAGTTCCTGGCTCCTAGCTTCAGCCTGGCCCAGCCCTAGCTATTGTGGCCATTTGAGAAGTGAACCAGCACATGGAAGATCTCTCCATCTTTCTCTCTCTCTTACTTTGGCTTTCAAATAAATAAATACATCTATCTTCAAAAATATTAAAAGATATACCAATGTGATTATTAATGATATGTACACCAGAAGCAAAATGATATACTGAATATATGTATTTTCAGATCACCTAATTAAATTCTGATCATATAAAATGGGGGAAACCAAACTGAAAATGGAAGCTCTGTAAATTTTCATCTATCAGCCAGAAATTTTAATAAGATTTCTTTGAACTTAGAAAATAGATGAAATAAGAATCAGATAAAAGAAAATATTTAATTAAAGATAGCGTTATAAAATAAAATATTAAATCAAATATGGTGTTGTCACAGGAGACATTCTTTTAAATGTGGTCTAGGAACATACTAAATTCAGAATTAACAAATACAATGAGCAAGGATGGAGCCTGGAAGATATATGGAAAATTGCTTAAATGTCTACTTTCAAAAACCTTAACCCAACAGGTTCCATTAGTGAAGGTTTCTAGTACTGCTTTTTTTAGCAACATGACTTATCTGTCCCAACCACTTCCACAGAGCCTATAGTCAGATTCTTTGGAAACAAACTCAAAACTGCAGAAGAGGAAACCCATACTAATCATCTTCACTAATCAACCCATTCCTTCATTCTAAAATATGAAAAAACAGCCATCAGTCATGAAATATTTGAATAAAATCAATTACATGAGATAGGAAACTAATAGAATAGCTGTTCTTTTAGCAAATACACGTTATTATTGCTCAGGAGGAAAAGTTACAAAGCAATGATTATTTCTAATGTTAGAAGTGTAGAAGGCTATGTTAGTCACGCCAGACCTTCACCTGGAAACAACTAAAAGTGATGTTTTATGTATTTAAGATATTCTTTTAAGTCTCAAAGTGTTTAGTAAGGATAGTAAGGAATCAACCAGCCAAATACAAGAGAAATTGAGAATCCAGAGAGTTTGGCAAAGCACTGAAACTGCCTTTGCCACCGACAGTACTTGTAAATTCACGTTTACAACCTGACTTTTGATTTTGACAGCTTCTTGGGCCCATCCAAGATAGTTTAAAATGGTATCCTTCCCACATTAACTGAAAAAGACTATTCCTACCTAGTATTTTATATATATGTGTGATATATATTTTTAATAGGAATTGACTATCAGGATGAAAGGAAATATAGACCAAAAGTTGAGGCTCTGGTAGTTAATATATGAAAATGTGAAAGCCCAAACCATAACTGTTTTAGGAGATAATATCATATGTATAAAATATATGAAAAAATGAATAATATTTACAGATAAATCAAAATAACTCAATATGTTTAAAGCTGTTAATAATTCCTGCAAAATGGGAGATAACTTTTTTTGATGAAGAGTCCAGATCATTTCAAGTAAACAATGAGCAGAAAGGGTATGACTTATTAACATTTATTATCAAATTAAAAAGTTCTGATCCAATAAAAAAGGAAAAAAAAATTATATATAGAAAGCTTAGAGAAAGATAGCTTGACTAGGTCAAAACGTGTCAGTAATTCTAGGAAATGTCAAAAAGTCAAAAAACATCTTAGAGAGAGAGGCTTCCTCCTTTTTTTCTCGACAGGCAGAGTGGACAGTGAGAGAGAGAGACAGAGAGAAAGGTCTTCCTTTGCCGTTGGTTCACCCTCCAGTGGCCACCGTGGCCGGCGCACCGTGCTTATCAATGGCAGGAGCCAGGTACTTATCCTGGTCTCCCATGGGGTGCAGGGCCCAAATACTTGTGCCATCCTCCACTGCACTCCCGGGCCACAGCAGAGAGCTGGCCTGGAAGAGGGGCAACCGGGACAGAATCCGGCGCCCCGACCAGGGCTAGAACCCGGTGTGCCGGCGCCGCAAGGCGGAGGATTAGCCTAGTGAGCCGCTGCGCCGGCCAAGTCTTCCTCCTTGATACTATGTGTTTCCTCTTGTCCTTGCTGGTGCTATACTTACCTTTAGTGAGGAGCCCTGATTTCTCACCCTCACTGCAAGACTGTGACACACATACAGATCACTACACTTGGGAAAGGTTTCCCTTATTCTGCCATGTGTGAACAAGGGTCATGGCATCATTTTCTTTTCACATGTGCTTTGATTTTATGGGGGATGTGTTCATTGTTTCCCTCTCTCCCTCTCTCTTTCTATCTTTCATCTCTGTCTCTCTATTCCTCCCCCTGCCTAGGAGATATTAATTCACATTACCTGAAAGATTAAAAATCAAAGCAGCAAAAATGGCAGTATTCTACAAAATAAATAGAATTTAATTTCAAAAACCATAATTAGGAAAATGGGAATTTTGTACTAATACTAGTTTTTTCCCACTAAAAAGACAATTGCCCTTTTAGAGGGGACAGTATGTATGAGACAAAAGCTTTTGGTCATAAGAAAAGCTGATTGGACCACATCATTGTTTATTGACTATTTCTTTATGAAATTGAGAGATCAAATAATGAAATGATAATTGAGAGAATTTGCTCTCAAAATCAATGAACCTTTAAAATACCCCTCTTTTTTATCATGCCTGCAGAAACTATCTTCCATGTCAGTTAATTTTTCAGATTTTATTTGTATTAGGTTTTATGTGCACTTTATAATTTTTACTTTCCTTTTTATAAATGTTTACTTTATATTTCTTCAGTTGCTTACTGCTGTTTTGTTTTTGTTGTTTCATCAATCTTTCCTAAGGTTTGTCTTCATTACTGATTTTATTTTTAACTTAGGCTTTTGGCTTAATTCATCAAATCTTTCGTATCCTTTCTATGCATTGAATTTGGGCTTTAATTTTATCAATTCTACTTTCTTATTTATGATTTATTTGGCTTTCCTTTCATAAATTCAATGCTTAGTTTATTTTCAATCTTTTGTGTTTTATAATGCTTACATGTAAAGATATAAATTTGTTTTAAAAATATAGTAGCCATATTCCACAGGTTTTTGATAGGAAGTATTGCTATTCATTAAAAAATAATCTAAGTTTCAATTTTGGTTTCTTCCTTAATTGAAATGTTGTTTAGAAGTGTGTTTTTAAATTTCCAGATGTTAAAAATGTCGGTCATGGCTTTTGAAAGCTTTCTGCTTGGCTATTCTGTGGCTGCATCTGGTGTTACCTTAGAGCAGGAAAGGGATGGACTCTTTCTAGGAGGGCCTTCACCAAGTGAAGCCTTAAGCAATTAAATAAAAGAAAATTTAGTCATGTATTTCCTAACTGTTTTCCCCCTTTGTCTTTTATTTCCTTTAGTCTTACTGCTCTGATCCAAACCTTGTGTTAGACTTGAAAAACCTCATTGTACTTTTTGCTGATACACTTCAGGTATGTGAGTTCTATTTACATAATGCTCATCTAAATTCATATTTAATCAGCTCCAAGTGTTTTCTTATCTGCATAATCTTGGATAAAAACCTTTTAGCTTCTGGTTGTGTTTATTGTTTTCCTAGAGCTAGATCTTTTTAAAATCTCTGTTGACATTACATGGACATTACTCTAACCTTTTATGTTTTCATAAATAAAATTCTCACCCCCTTTTTCCTCTCCCATCAGTCCAACTAATTGAACCACTCAAGCCAGAAGTTTCTCAAAATGTTCTTAATTTATATATAGCACTGAGTGATTTTATAGTTTGTTTAACTACCATCTTGAGTAATGATGATTGAGATGAACCACATATTTTACCCAGTGGAATAGCATTAAAAGTGGGTCTGATCGGTAGTGTTTACAACTTCTCTCTCTACTCTTATGTTTGCTATAGGTCGTTAGAGTTACTAGGAGGAGTTGGAGGGAGAACTTAGCTGACAGTCCCCCTACTATATAGTGATTTTACTTGTCATCATTTCTTTTGTTTCTATCTAGCTTAGATAAATTGGTATGTATCTTTGAATTTTTTTTTAAAGTTCTTTATTTTTTATTTTTTTGTTCAATCCTGAAATTCTTCATTGGCACTGTGTAAGGGACTGATGCTGGGAGCCAGGAACTCAATCCAGGTCTCCCATGTAGGTGGCATGGACAAAACCACTTCAGCCTTCATCTGCTGCCTCCCAGGATACATACTATCAGGAAGCTGGAATCAGAAGTGGAGCTGCAAACTCAGGCAGTCCAAAATGTGCTGTGGATGTCCTAATCAGTGTCTTGATTGCTAAGCCTAATGCCCATCCCTGTGTTGAGAGAAGAACACTAGATGTTAGTTGGAAATGAAAGATTCTCTACTATCATGTTTTCATTTAAATTGTTACCTCAAGAACAAAATGTCTTCCAGTTCTTAAAATGTCTCATGTTGTTAAAAAAGTTACCTTAGAAAATGAAGGTATTTTTAAATTTTGTTTTAGGTGTATGGTTTTCCTGTAAATCAACTTTTTGATATGCTGTTAGAAATCAGAGATCAGTACAGTGAAACTCTGCTGAAGAAGTGGTCAGGTATTTTCAGGTGAGAAACCATCTGTAGTCATGTGTGTATATGCATGTATGTGTACACATGTTGTGCCAAAAAGATTTTCCATATGTAATAAACAACAAGAAAATGTGGTTTTTATTTTTCTGGCTACCCTAGATTATAATCTAGAATTCAAATGAGTTGTAATAATGTTTCAAATTATTTTTTCAAGCTATCTAATCTCAGTGTATTAATATCTACAGTGCTGAGAAGTCCCTAAGCCCCATTTTCACACTTTTATTATCTTGGATAAATGTCAGATTCCTTTGTTCAAACCATCCATATCAACTTGTGGTGTCTTCTTCTGGCTTTTTGTTGTTTGTTTTTTTTTTCCTTAGGATCATACCTAGTTTAAGGCACCCTTACAAAGTAGTGGTATTTGAGCCCTTATGGATACTTTATGCTTTGGAAACCCTTTTTGAGAACTAATAGTCTTTGGGAAGGGGCTTATTATAGTACAGTATTTGAAGCAAATTATGTAAATGATTATTGTAGTATGAATACTATAATAAAGTTCTCAGTTACATCTCCCACTCAGAAATATGTCTGTGCACGATTTTCTTGACACCTATTTCATGTCAATTCGTTTGAATTTCCTCTCTTTTTATACCCTTAGTCATTTACTATCAGTGATCTTCCTGTCTATTGAAAGATAGCTTTTCCCAATCAGCTTAGCTCATTTTTGAATTTTTTTAAAAATATTTTTTAATTTTACTTGAAAGTCAGAGTTACACAGAGAGAAGGAGAGACAGAGGAGAGACAGAGAGGGAGAGACAGGTCTTCCATCTGCTGGTTCACTCCCCAAATGCCTGCAATGTCCTGAGCAGCGCCGATCCGAAGCCAGGAGCCAGGTACTTCTTCTGAGTCTCCCACGCGGGCGCAGGGGCCCAAGGACTTGGGCCATCCTCCACTGCTTTCCCAGGCCACAGCAGAGAGCTGGATTGGAAGTGGAGCAGCCAGGACTCAAACTGGCACCCATATGGGATGGTGGCACTGCAGGCAGCGGCTTTACCTGCTATGCCACAGCGCCGGCCCCCATTTTCAAATTTATTCTAGCTTTAAGATTTTACATTGTTATTTTAATCTTTTTTATATATTGGGTTTTCTTTTTAAAAATTATTTATTTATTTACTTATTTGAAAAACAGAGTTAGAAAGAGAGAGAGTGAGAGGCAGCAAGAAAAAGAAATCTTCTACCTGCTCATTTACTCCCCAGATGGCCATAACAGCCAGGGCTGGGCGAGGCAGAAGCCAGGAACCAGGAGTTTCATCTAGTTCTCCCATATGGGTGCAGGGCCCAAGCTCTTCTGCTTTCTCAGGTGCATTAACAGGAAGCTGAATTGGAAGTGGAGCAGCTGGGACTCAAACTGGCACCCATCTGCGATGCCAGTGCTGCAGGCGGCAGCTTAACCTGCTGAGCCTCGGCACCAGCCTGTTACTTCAATCTTAATCTTCATAGTTTATGAGCATATTCCTGATTATCATTTGGTACAACTCATCTGTATATTAATGTAATTATTTATATTTTTAAAGCTCAGATTTATCTGTTACAATTGTATTTAGCAGAATTTTATCTCAACAGGAAATTTGAAAATTAATAACATGTTTTATAAATAGTCTAAGATGCTTCTGATCTGATTTCTTCAGTGAGTATCTGTGTTGACTTTGGTAGTGTGGTTTTTCTATTAAAGAACTCTCAATATAGTAAAGGAGGGGGAATCTATAGATGAAACAAATATGTGACTAACAGAGAGCAGTAGATGAAGTAATTAAACATTGTTTACATTTATTACAGAAATTACCTTGCCTATCTGCCAATTTTGAAAATAGAATAGAAAATTTATGGGGGCCATTGTTGTGGTGCAGCAGGTTAAATAGCTGTCTGCGACATTGGCGTTCTATATGGGCGCCAGTTCATGTCCTGGCTGCTGTACTTCCAGTTCAGCTCCATGCCTCTGCACCTAGGAAAGCAATAGAAGGTGACCCAGATACCTGGTTTCCCCCAACGTGGGAGACCCAGATGAAGTTTCTAGCACTTGGCTTCAGTCTGGCCCTACCCTGACCATTGTGGCCATTTGAGAGTGAACCAATGGATGAAAGATTGCTTTATCTTTCTGTCTCCCTTTCTCTCTGTAACTCTGCCTGTCAAATAAATAAATATATCTTTATAAAATAGAAAGTTGAGTGCAAAATTTAAAAATATAATCAAATTGATTGTATTACGATAAAAAGAAACAACCTGTTTACCTTTTCTAGTTTACTTCTCATTTGCTGGGAGATCATGTTCATAGTTGTGTTCCATTTACTTCAGTATAGTTTCCTGTTTCTTCATTAAAAGATGGGCATACCCAAAATGAGATATCTGTGTTGTGGAGGAATATAATAGATATTTGGCAGTGTTCATTTTGATTTGTGGTATGTATACAGCCACTGAGGTTCATCAGATTATTTGTAATTAACCCACCATTCTTCCCTGTTATATCCTTTCTCTCCTCCTGTCCTGCCTCCATCCTCTGCCTCCCTCCCTGTTTTCTTTCTTTTTTTTTCCATCCTTCATTTTACTGTTGTTTTTATAGGACCATACTTGATTCTGACAACTACAGTCCCATACCAGTAACAAGTGAAGAGATGTATAAAAAGGTGGTAGGACAATTCCCATTCCAGGATATAGAGCTGGAAAAGGTAAGGAATATTTTAAAATAGACAAGCTTTCATCAAAGTAGTTTCATTGAGAGCATCGCCTTCAACTCAGTTGGTTAGAATTCTGACCACCTCAATGCTTTGTTTTTCAGGCTTAGAAAAAAAAACAGCATTTCCTGATCTGGGAATCTGTAGATGGCTTTGGGGTCCCATCATGTCTGAAGTGTTTGGAGGATTACTGGGGGGTTTTCCAGTTTAGATTATACATCAAAGTCCTTGCTTTTATGAAAATTGTTAAGTGTTTCCTCTGAAAAACAGTGAAATTTACCCTGTATGGCATGTGAATCTGTTGCTTTGACAGTGAACTGAGTTGGGTATTCACTACCACATTAAGTAGACAGAGCAGTTACCTCATCCCAGCAATTCTTTCCTGCTGCGCCTTTGTAATCCACCCTCCCCTAACTACATCCCTTGGAATTTACCATTCTGGTCCCTACCCATCTACTTTGCCTTTTCCAGTGTGCCAATTAAATGGACTCAGGCAATATATAGCCTTTTGAGACTGACTTCTTTGAGGCAGCACAGTGCTTTTGAGATTATCCGTGTTGGTACTTGTATCCATGCTTCCTTCTTTCTTACTGCTGAGTGTGAACTCTGTTTTTTTATCCTTTCACATGTTAAAAGACATTTGGAGTATTGTCTTATTTAAATTGTGTCTTACTCTTTTTGAAAACTCTTGGGGACATTTTCTTAAATTTGAGGTTGTTAAGCAGACAAGCTCACAATGTGGAAGAAAGTTCCTTTTGTATTTAAAAAGATGTATAAATATCTTTAATGTATGTTCATTTGTGACTCACTTTCATTAATCCTTGCATTTACAGCAGTCATTTCCAAAAAAGTTTCCTTTCTCTGAATTTGTGCCAAAAGTTTACAACCAAATTAAAGAATTTATCTACGCCTGCCTTAAGTTTTCAGAAGATCTTCATCTAAGGTATAGTATGAAAGAGTGGAAAGGAAACCAGTGTTAAGATTGTGACTTTTTTCTATATGAATTTTCTGAAAAGCTTTTGCTATTCTCTTCACCTTTGATTTTCAGCATCTTAATATTGGTCTTTCACTGCATGGCACTGCTATGGTACATAGTTATGATGATAGGGAAAGATGGTAACTTTTGAATAATTTTTAAAATCTGTATTTACCTATCTTATTCTATACTATTTTATTAACCAGTTTGCACTGTAACCCTAATTGTTAATGAGAATTCTCTAGAAAATTGTAGTATAACATTAATTTTAACATTCTACTTAATGAAATTTTAAAGCTAGAAGTGGAGTAACAGAAGAAAATCCTTTGGAAACTTTATAATTACTCTATTTATTTGTCTTGGTATGTGCTAGACTAAAGGTATCTTTTTTTCTTTGTTCTCTTATTGGTTTATGTATCATCCATTCTGACTAAGCTGTTATTTGTCAGCTGCTACTTGGCAGTTAAGATATTAAGATGCTGAAAATTTGGTCCTGTCTTCAACGAGTATCTAATACAATTGAGGACTGCTGCAAATATACAGGAACAACACAGTAGCCACCCCTAACATAACCTGATAATGTTAGGAAAGTTCTCTTGTAGGGTAGACATATTTTATCTTTTATTCAACACATAATCCTCTGTACCCAACTCAGTATTTTTTAATAATAAATTAAAGAGTGAAAAGTATGGGAAATAGTTTGAGTCACTTGTTTTATAGCTATTCTTACTAAGAAAAAGAATGAAAGACAGGTTTACCCAATTTGTTTGTTCTTTTTCTTTGAAGATGAGATTGATTTCATAGAAATAGAAAATGAGATTGTCTTTAAAAGTTATAAAGCAAAAGTTTGTTTTTACCCTAGAATTTTCATTCCCTGACTCATGGCTCCCACATACCCACCCTACTGACCAGATTACCTCATACTAGAAAATATTCTATAGGATATTCTTAAGTATATTGCTGTAGGTAAATTGTTACAAAATGATTTAGTATCCTGGAGTATATTTTCCTTAAGACCTGGAGTCACAGAGATCACTATATCAATCATAGCTATCTTAAAGCGGCAGTTAACATGACATATGAGACCATATGTACAAGAACAATTCTTTGGGGCCAACATTGTGGTATAGTGGGTCAGGCTATCGCCTGCAGCAGCAGCATCCCATATGGGCACTGGTTTGAGTCCTGACTGTTCCACTTCCAATCCAACTCTCTGCAACTGTGCCTGCGAAAGCTGTGGGAGACGGCCCAAGTGCTTGGGCCCCTGTACCTACATGGGAAGCCCAGAAGAAGCTCCTGGCTCTTGGCTTTGGATCAGCTCAACTCTGGCTGTTGCAGCCATTTGGGGAGTGAACCAGTGGGTGGAAGATATCTCTATCTCTCCCTCTCTCTCTGTAATTCTGCCTTTCAAATAAATAAATGTCTTTCAAAAATAATAAAAATAAAAGCAATTTATTGTGTTATATGTAAGGGCCTCAAAACAAGAAAAACTGTTGGATTGAGAGTTTCATGTAGTTCTATAAATATCTATTAAGTCAAGTTTTCATTTCTTTTTCTTGCAAGCATTCTCTATGGCCAGAAGATGTAGAAAATGTAATTGCATGTATTCTGAGGACCTAGTATTTCTGAAAGAAAGTTTCTTTCTTTCTTTCTTTTTTTTTTTTTATTTGACAGGAAGAGTTATAGACAGTGAGAGAGAGAGAGACAGAGAGAAAGGTCTTCCTTCCATTGGTTCACTCCCCAAATGGCTGTGCCAATCCAAAGCCAGGAGCCAGGTGCTTCTTCCTGGTCTCTCATGTGGGTGCAGGGACCCAAGCACTTGGGCCAACCTCCACTGCCCTCCTGGGCCACAACAAAGAGCTGAACTGGAAGAGGAGCAACCGGGACTAGAACTCAGCCCCCTATGGGATGCTGGCGCCGCCCTGGCGCCAGCCCCGAAAGTTTCTTTTTTTTTTTTTTTTTTAAGAAAAGGCAAATAAATGGCATTTTTGGGTAAAATAATATTCTATCATTTGCCTTTGATTTTAAAATAGAATAAACAAATATGGATTTTTAATATTGTAAAATTAGATAATTGTGAGGAGTTTGGAGATTATAGAATCATATAAAGAAGAAAAATTTAAAAGTCCCCGAATTCTACCACATATCAATAACACTCCAAATATGGAGATTTTTTTCTTCTAGTCTTTTGTCTTTGTGAATACATACACATGCTAAGCACCTTTTAAAAAAATTATTAGTGCACATATGGTTGTGCATTAGGTTGATCCACCACTTGTTAAACATGTATCCCATATTAGAATGCTGATTTGAGTGCTGGCTGCTCTGCTTCCTGCTAATGCATTGTAGACGGCAGGGGAGTATGGCTTAAGTGTCTGGGCCCCTGTCACCTAGAGACAGTTTTGGCTCCTGGGTTTGGCCTGGCCAAGACCTACCTGTCATAGGCATTTCGGGAATGACCAGTGCATAAACAACCAATCTCTCTCTCTCTCTCTCTCTCTCTCTCTCTCTCTTTCTGCCTTTCAAGTAGATCAAAATAAACATAAACATCTGTGTAGACAGACAGATGGAGATCGTCTGTCCTCTGGTTCAATTCCTAGATGCCAGCAACAGCTGGAGCTGAGCCAGACCAAAGCCAGGAGTCAAGTACTTAAGCCATCACAGCTTCCCACAGTGTACATTAGCAGGAAGCTGGAATCAGAAGTGCAGCTGGGACTCAATCCCAGGAACTCGGACATGGGGTGCAGGCATCCCAAGCAGCATCTTGACACTGCTGTGCCAAACATCCATCCACAGAGCACCTTCTTAAAAAGAAATTAGTATGAGATGATGCCAATATAGTCTCTAGTATAAAAACCTGGAAAGAATGTTTCTTCTTCCCTGACAATGAGAAAAAGACAGATAAACTACAATTATAAAGCTTTTCTGGGAACCACCAGGGTGCTGTGACTAGCTCTGAAATCCAAGATGGTATTGGTCTCTCTCAGGAGAGGGATTGTGCACAGACTTCTCCACAACCGGGACTAGAACCCAGGACTAGAACTTCTCCACGTGTGGCAGACAAAGGCAGCAAGGTATAACCGTCATGCAAGAACGAAAGAAAATCAACTAAAGTCATAATGGATTGATGATTAGACCCCTGATTGGATGTCCTACATAGACTCAGGAGGAATTTACGCTCATTCATATGTTCTTCCCCTTGGACCTCCAGTGGTGACTCATGGGAAAGATTGTGAGCTGGGTGGGAGCTCAAAGAGAACCACTGATGTTGTTGTAGGTGTGGAGAAGGGGACCAGCCACTGCTGTAAGAAAGGTGTGAAGCCTCACTTTTCCTCTGTTTGAACCCTTTGCTCATCCAGACCAGAAACTTTTGTGGCATTAGGGGAATGGCAGCATACTCTGTCTCTCTTCAGGGCACAGAAAGACTGAATATTCATCTCATTATGAGAAAAACTGAATAAAAAATTTTATTTCCTTGGGAGAAGAACAGAAAATAGTCCTATACTTAGCTAGCATCTTATACTAATAGCATTAGATGTCTTCTACTACTGGAAGAAGGCTGGAAAACACTTGGAGTAAACCCACTACAGATAGAAAGCAAAATATGGCCACTATTGGAAATAGGGGCAAGGATATTGAGCATACTTCACTCGTAAGCACCAGGCATATGGAACAGGGATGGGGAACATCCAGCCTGTGGACTATATAAAGCCCATGAAGCCATCTTGTCTGGCCCTGCCAAGGCAACCACAGGTGGGACTCAAAAATCAATAAATAGAGCAGGCTAATTTTTAAGTTGTTAATTTGGTGTTGCCCATGAATGATGTTATACATATCCAAATGGCCCCTGGCAGAAAAAAAGTTTCACATCCATGATGTAAGGCATACCTAAGACTGAGGCTGGACAGGATGAATGAGCATGCCTTTTGACTCCTGCTAATAGCTTAGCAAGAACTGAGTTAATAAAAGGCAGAAATTGACCATGAGGTGATGGCCGAAAATGTAGAGAGAGACTTCCCTTGTGTATAGAGAACAAAACACTGTGGATGGTAAAGTTGTGAAAAACTCTCTGGGACTTCAGCACCTGTGCTAGTTCCATTCAATCATTAGAGGGGTTTAAAATGTATAAGTACTGAAGGTAGCCGTAGAAACAACAAGACCCAACCCAGCACAACTCTTGTCTTGAGCTGCCACACTAATGACCCAACAGGAAGAAAAATAGGATCGTTTCGTCAGCCTCTGCTGTTTTACATAAGATGTCCAACCTTCTTTCAAAAATATAAGACATAAAGGAAATCAAGTAAAAACATCTTTCAGAGGGCAATGAAATTAACAGAAATGGACTCAGAGATGACCAGATGATTAGAACTATTAGTTAGGGACTTAAAAATACCCTGTGCATGAACTTATAGAGACTTTTTATCAGAGAGGTGAAAATTATAGGAAATACTCAAATAGAAACGTTTGAAATGAGAAACAGTTGGAGAATTCCTTTGAAGGACTCATCAGTAGACTTGACATAGCCAAGAAAATAATCATCAAAGTGGAAGATAGGTCAGTAGAAGTAACACACAAAGGAAGGGGGAAAGGTGAAAGAAATAGAATAAAGTGCCCAAGATGTGGAGCAGTTTGAAACAGATCCAAGAATGGGAAGTCTGAAGAACAGAGAAGAATATTTTAAGAGACTATGATTGAGAATACTTCAAAAATAATGAAAGCCATCAAACCAGAGATTAAAGATATTTGAGATTATCAACCTACATAAACCTTAGCAAAAACAACAATAACAAAAATACTTAAAGGCATTATATTCATATAGGTACAATGAAAGTCAGGAGAATGTTTGCCAGACATTCAGAAAAACATAGAAGCGTTATATGCAGATTCACTCCAAGAATTATAACAGACTTCTTGTCTGAAACTATACAAGCCAGAGACAATTGGAGAAACATCTCTGAAGTACTCAGGGAAGAAAAAAATCAAGCCAGAATTCTCTCGGCAGTAAAAATAATATTTTATAATAAAGCCAAAGTAAATTTTTGTCCAAACAAAAGCTTAAAAAATTTGTGAAAAGACTTAGAATAGTTTGCTACACTACATTTTCTTCTGCTGCTATTAGTATTGTTTCAGTACTGTTAGTACAAGTACCAGTATCACCTTGTTTGCCAAAATAATTCTACCTGCTATGACTGACACTTGACACTTTTTTTTTTCCAGTTCAACGGAAATTGATGACATGATTCGTAAATCTACAAACCTGTTGCTCACCAGGACTCTGAGTAACTCTCTGCAGAATGTGATCAAAAGGAAGAACATTGGTCTTACTGAGGTAAAGATTCCCTCCATGTATATAGTCTAGCCTAGAGCTGAACAGATATCCAAAATTCTGAGCCTTTTGTTTGAATTAACAGTAGCTTTCTACATAGTCTAGAAATGCTCTTCCTCATAGCCTCCTAATGGGGAAGGTAGAAAATGAAATTTCCTTTTCTTTGACTACTTTTGAGAAGTCCACTGTTTTTTCTTAAGTCACTGTTTTTTCTCTTTCATTGTTTTCACTAATCTGGTTTCCTTTCTGAACTTTTTGGAATTATTTGTATTATCAGTTTTCAGAGAAAAACATTTTTGGGAGCTTGGAAAATAAAGTCAATACCAGGTTTCTATCCAAATGAGTGGCAGAACATATACAGCAGAGTGTATTAAATCATACTTTGCCTTCATCATTTATTGATGTCGAAAATATTGGCACTCAGTCCTTGATTACTGTCAAATTCAGCTTTTGTTTTTGAGATATCTCATGTATATGATTGGTAAATATTTTTTTTACCAACATGTAATCTATTTGGCAAAAGGACTTTAGATTTGGGATTAAGAAAATGTGACAGAAAGGCAGTAGTTGTGCCTGTGTTGTGGTGCTGTGTGTTAAGCTACCACCTGCGTCACTGGCATCCCTTATGACCACCAAATCTAGTCTTGGCTCATCTACTTCTGATCTAGTTCCCTGCCAATGGGCCTGGGAAAGTAACTGAAAATATAGTCCAAGGACTTGGGCCCCTGTCTTACCTAGCTCAGCCTGGACCATAGCTTCATTCGGGGAGTAAAGCAGCAGATGAAAGATCTCTTTCTCTATCTATTTTTCAGTAACTCTTCTTTCAAATAAATAAATTAATTTTTTTTTAAAAAAGGTGATAGTCACATTTCTGAGGGAGCTTATGCATTCTTATAAGGGACAAATGGATATTGTATATACATTGAGAACAGTGTCTTGGCAATCTGAAGATTTGCCGCATTGATGTGTAGTCATAAAATTTAGAAAGATCTGAAGTGTTTTTTTTTTTCCTTTGGAAACCCATGATTACATGGTAGCCTCAATTTGTCATTCACTGGAACTTATAGTGCCAAAAGTGAGCTTAGAGGACTTTTTTTTCACAGGGAAATGGAAAGGCTGTTGGCCATCTGTTTTATCTATGGATATAGTGTAGTTTGAAAAGCACTTGCTTTTGAAAAAAACTGACATTTTCAAATATACACTGTCAAGAATTATGGGGAAATTCAGCAAGTAGTTAATGATACTGACCTAGAGGTAGACAGCTGGAAGCCAGGTGAGCATCTATTTTTTATTGTGATTTTGGAGTTATTATCTCTTTCTTTACATTAAGATTAAAAATTATTATATTATAAACCAGAACATTGGCAGTAATTGAATTCTACTTAATAATAAACTTTTTCCCAATTGAAAGTCATCTTAGACATTATTTAGAATAGTCCTCTCATTTGTCAAAATTTCCTTTCTATTGTCTGATATACAAATGTTAGGTATTGCCTTATATTTCTGAAAACAGGCTAACTTCTTTTTGTAATTAGGAGGCTGCAAAAAACAAAGTTTCAGTGAAACTTGGGAAATCCTCATGCTGTTGTTAGATTGCACTGTTCTCTTCTGAATCTCAACTAGGTCAGGAAGTTTACTTAGTGAACAATCTTTTCATTGTGACTCTAGATATAACTCTTCTTGTGCCATGTAATTTAGGAGTATCTTAAAGGCCATTTTATTTTATTTTTTTTTTTTTTTTTTTTTTTTTTTATTTTATTTTGACAGGCAGAGTGGACAGTGAGAGAGAGAGAGACAGAGAGAAAGGTCTTCCTTTGCCGTTGGTTCACCCTCCAATGGCCGCCGCGGCCGGCGCGCTGCGGCCGGCGCAGCGCGCTGATCCGATGGCAGGAGCCAGGAGCCAGGTGCTTTTCCTGGTCTCCCATGGGGTGCAGGGCCCAAGCACCTGGGCCATCCTCCACTGCACTCCCTGGCCACAGCAGAGGGCTGGCCTGGAAGAGGGGCAACCGGGACAGAATCCGGCGCCCCGACCGGGACTAGAACCCGGTGTGCCGGCGCCGCTAGGCGGAGGATTAGCCTAGTGAGCCGCGGCGCCGGCCTTAAAGGCCATTTTAAAATAAGCGGCATAGTTGGAACATTGTCTGATAGAAAAAGCTTTGACCTCTGAAGACTCCTGAGTTTAGTTGAGACTGTGCCATTGGTTTTGCTCTGACATCTAAGAGAAAGACCCAGCTTCTCAGCTTGAGTTTTTCTGACCCCAGTTGTCCTTTACAAGGGCTCTGTGAAGTTAGAAGCTAATGGAGAAAGGATTGTATCATAATTCTTGGAATTGTTTCATTAGATGTTATATTATTCCTTTGAATAATTATTGAGTATGTTAAGGCAACTATACTTTTATGCTTAGTATCTTTGCATATGAGTGAAAGAATACACACACATTTATTTTGGCTATTTTGAGTGTTTATATGCATAGATAATCTACATAAAGTGCATTATTATATTACCGACAAGAATACCTTAGAATAACTGTACTACTCACCTTTGGAACAAGAAGACATTATATATCCTTTATAAATAACGGAAGTGAGTTCACATCTGGAACCATCATCATAATGGGTAACATTTGTGGAGCAGGTTACATTCTTCAAAGCCTACTCCCAAGTACAGTTTCATCTGGTACAGTAACATTTGAGGTGAGCTTGGCATGTGTTGTTATTCTCATTTTGTTGAAGTCATAATTAAAGTTCAAGGAGATTGCCTGAGGTCATACAGCTAGCAAAATGGCAAAAATGAAATATAAATCTCGATTGTCTTTTCCAAACCTATTTGCAAGTATCATATTGTACTGCCTTCCATGTTGACTTAGTTATGTCATCTTAACAGAGAGAGATTTTACTGTAGGTCCATGATAAGATTGAAATTGTTCTAGTTAGAGATGATTTTGTGTCAGAGAGCAGAAATACACTCAAGCAATGGTATTATTCTAAGCATACAAAATCAGTCAAATCCTATTTCAAGATGTCAAATAATTCTCTTAGGGTTTAAGACTGTATGTTCTGTCCAGCTGTCTATCTCTCTTGTTTGAGGATTATGCTGTAACTTTTCCCTTCTTTTTATGTCTATGTGCTCTATTTTTCATCTTTTTCTCTCTGAACACTGATTTTCTTATGACTTGTTTGCTTCCCCATGCTGAGCCAGTTCACTTTCATTGCTAGTAACTACTAGAACTTGCTTTCTCAAACCTTCGGTGACTGTCCCAAGTTCATTCAGTAGGTGCAGCTCTTCTCCTAGGGCTGATTTGTCTGGGTGTGTGGAAAGAAGTCGAGCACTGGTTAAGAGTACATGTTATAACACAGATTGCCTGACTCTCCCCTTAATAGCTGTCTCCTTTTGTGAATCACTTGCTTTCTGTGTAAAATAGGGACACTGAAAGCATATGTATTGTAGGAATGTTGTAAGGATTAAATGAACAAAGAAAGTACTTAGAATGATGTCTGGTATATGGTAAATACTCAATGCATAGTGCCTATTGTCTTTAGAGATATGTGGGGGTGGTACAGGGGGATAGATCTCTCATCTACTGGTTCACTTTCCATATGCCCACAACTGCCTGGGTTGGCCCACGCCAAAGCCAGGATCTGAGAACTCAGTACAGGTCTCCCATATGATTTGGCTGCAAAATAACCACTTGAGCCATCAACTGCTGTCTCCCAGGGTACTCATTAGCAGGAAACTGGAATTGAGAGCAGGGTCAGGCACTTATGTCATCCTGAGCCATGTCTCAACCATTGTGCGAAACACTTGCCCTTGAAATGCAGTGTTTTAATTAAGGTAAAGTTCAGAAATTGTAACAAGATGCCTTAGTAAGATAATTTGTTTATTAACTTTATAATGTTAATGAGTGTCTACTCTGTGCTCTGCACTAATCTGAACCATTAGGATAATAAATAAACAACACCAACAACACCATATATCCTTGGTTATATTTTAGTAAGGAAACTAGATAATAAGTAATAAACAAAATAAATTTAAAAATATAGTATTATAAAAAGTGGTAAATGCTTTGGGAAGGAGCAAATGTATCAGGGCTGGTGCTATGGGGCTACCAGTTGTGGTGCCGGCAACACATTTGGGCACAGTTAGAGTCCTGGCTGCTCCACTTCTAATCCAGCTCTCTGCTATGGCCTGGAAAAGCAGTGGAAGACGGCCCAAATCCTTGGGCCCTGTGCCCACATGAAAGAACCTTGCAGCCATTTGGGGAGTGAACCAGCAGATGGAAGATCTCTCTCTGTCTGTCTCTCTCTGTCTCTCTAACTCTGCCTTTCAAATAAAGAAAGAAATCTTAAAAAAATAAAATTTATCTGTGTTAGGGAAGTCAGGATTCTGGTGAGTGTTATTGAGTTATAGTTGAAGGGGAAAGAGTCTTTTAGGCAGAGATTTGCCCTAGTGCAATAAATTGAAGGTAGGAAAGTGCTCAGCTCCTTCTGGAGTGAAATGAAAGCAAGAGGAAGAAACATAGAATATTAGATCAGAGAGGTACCAGAATCCCTGGTGGCCATTGTAAATCCTTTGGCTCTGTTAATATGTTTTGGCATGAAATGGGAAGCCACTGCAGGACTTTGATTAGTGTCATAATCTGATCTGTGTTTCAAAAGGATCACATTGATGGCAGTTTTGAAAATAAACTGCAGTATAGATTAGTTAGAGTGCTATGACAGTAATCCAGTGAGGTTTGTTAGAAGCTTAAGTTGTAGCCATGAATAGTGACACAATTTTAAGTGTAGAGCCAACATGCTCCCCTGATAATGAGATGCAAAGGAAGAGAGACAGTGAGGACTTGGAAGATAACTCTTAAGAGTATATGCTTTGGGTCTGGCACTATGGTATAGCAGGTAAAGCCTCTGCCTGCATTGCCAGCAGCCCATATGGCCACCAGTTTGAGACCTGGCTGCTCCACTTCTGATCCAGCTCTCTGCTGTGGCCTAGGAAAGCAGTAGAAGATA